AGTTTAAGAAAATGTTTACTATAATAATTATATTAAAAATAAAGATTAAAGTAAACATAATTACAAAAGTACGATAAAAGTTCGAGAATTTTTGAATTTTTCTGAAAATGTCAATGTACAAAAATAAAATAATAAAAGTAAAAAATAATTATAATATATTTACATACGAATAATTATGATTTAATGAAATTACAAGAGATGTAAATGGATATTGTAAATATAATTACTACGACCTTTTTTTTTCTCTACGATTTTAGACTTAATTTAGTTCTCAAAAATGAATAAAACGGCCTATGTATGAACACATTACGTACGCACGTGAACGTACATGAACGCATCGCGAATATACCCTTTCACGTCCTCGCGCGTTCCGCGGCGAATATTCTGAAACGATCGGCGCTGATTGCGAATCCACATGGTACTTGGATTGAAATTGAGTGATGTACCGGTGAGTGCACGCGGAAATGTGACACGATGATTGCCATGCGGGAAATGCAAAGAACAATGTTACGAACAATGACATTGAAAAATACGATGGAAAAATCGCTTTCTATCTGAAAAAAAAATGTTGATTATATTCGTAAAGTTTTGTAAATTCTCAAAACATCACCAAATATTCAAAAATCAAACTCCGATTTATATTATTTCATACTATTATTTTTATATTATTTTATATTATTTAAAGTAATAGAAATAGATATAGTGATAGAAATTGTCTCTCTCTTATACGTGTTTTGAAAGATATTCGTAATACATGGTACAGTACATACCTTTTCACGATAATACAATAAAATAATAATCCTGATAATAATCCTGATAGTGTGATGAATTATGAAATCATCAAAATTCTTTTCCTTACATTCTTTTTTATTTAATAACTAACTGACTATTCCTTCTCTATCTGTAAGATCTTTAATGCCACAATTTTTATCACTGCTGCAATTCAGCCAGTTGACATTTGAAATACCACTACTTCCAAGTTTAGCACGTGAGTTATAATATATACAAAGTAGCACCGTCACATAAAGTAGAATATGCGTTCTAAATAAGATGAGGAATAACTTATCAGTCTATATCTTGACACTTTGCGCGATTTCAAGCTTGTATTCTCTCAATTATACTCAAACTGTACAATTTCTCTACTACAAAAGTTTGAAGATAGACTAGGGAATTATGATATATATTGCTAATCGTAGAGAGAGAGAGAGAGAGAGAGAGAGAGAGAGAGAGAGAGACC